AGATGCATTCATACGAGTCGATCGCAAAAAAGGAACGGTACAGGCACTCGATCATGTGGATTATGTGCAGGTGCGAATGGAAAACATTTATGTTCGTAGGAAGGTGTATTGTGTACCAGCTTGGAAAGCTATTCGTATTTTCAGAGACCACAATGAATGGTGAAAGTTTATTTTCTTTTGGCAGTACTTCTGTTTTATAGATTTTAATGTTGGATATTTATAACATTTGCACAATGCAGAAAGTACTTAGCAAAGATAGATTCAAGGGGGCTTGAGAAGTTGTGCATATTTAACTATCGGACGGCGGACCATGGAGAGCGCCCCAATTTCTTGCAATTTCTTTTTTAACAGCTGGTTGACTTTAATTTTTCCACTCGTTTGTCGAATCTTCAATAACGCCGTGCTTCTTTTTAATATACTGTGAAAACTTTTTTAATTTTGTTTATCGGTTTTGTAATACAGACGAGTTCAGCTCTGTATACTTCAACAAGCTTCTGCTACATTGTCGCTCTTTCACCCTTCCTTTACATTTTACGCGCCTTTTTTTTTCTGTGTCATTGAACGTTCTCTTTAGTTCTCTCAGCGGGCTTTTAATAACGCCTCATCGATGCTTTTCGAGCACACGCGAAAGGGAAGTTTTTACGAGACGTCGTAAATCCGAGAAATTACTACCTGTCTATGCATTTTTAGCCTCTCTTTATTGTAGTTTAATACTCCTCGTCGTAACTTTCGTTATTCGGTGAGCACGAAGGGTATGTTGAAAAAAGAAATTCCAACTATCCGTCTATCCTGCACATTTGAAACTTTATAAAATATAAAGTTATCCCCGAGGTATTTCATATTTTCTGCCGTAGAAATGTTGAGCAAAGGGTTAAATAAAATAAACTCTGATTCCATGAAAAGTAAATCAGAGCAGTCAATTCGCGAACTCCCGTATCATCGTTCATTCTCGTCGATGGCATCGTGAACGATGAAATATAGAAGTTCAAACGAGCAACAGCTCGCAGAAACGAAAGAGGAGACAGATTTGTGTTTCTCGGAACGCGAACGCGGCAGTACGCGGTACTTCCCGGCTGCTGTGTTCAATTAACTCTTTCGTTGCAACGGATTCCAAAGCAAAGCGAGCGTTCCAAGTGGCAGACATTCATTGGCAAGAATTATTCACCGCAAAGAAGAGAGGTACTTCTATCGATAACAGTTGAGAGTAAGAATAACGGAAGAAGAGAAAGAAGGAAACAAGATGGGACAGGACGAAATAACGTGAACAAATTGTCACCGCCATCAAGCCCGCTTATCAGCCGCACGACCCTGCGACTCGTCCCGCCATACTTTCACGTTGATTCAATTCACCGTCTACAATGACGTCCGCCGGAAATCCAATCGTGTCCCGGAGGCACATTTCCATCCGATGGCGCGCACTTTTGACAGGCGGCTCACGTGCCAACTAACGAAATTACTTTTCGCCTCGTCGGGACATCCGCTTAAATACGTTTCCATGGGGGTATCCTAGGCCGGAACCGGGCCTGGTAAATCCGCCAGGACAGTCTTCGAAGGAGAAACAAGGGACGAAGAGAGGTTGAAAATGAAGAGAAACCAGGGAGAGACGACAGGGTCCAGGGATAAGGTGTTGCTCTATATTTGCTACGGCATGGGTTAGAAATGGACCGCTGGCAGATGTAATCAAAGTTTGCAGACGACCACCACTCCTGAGACTACTCGGCCAGCAATGAGCGGAACAAGTCGGACCGGATGCGCCCGTTTTTCCCCGCACGCCATGGGACATACTCGTCGATGCATAGAATTGTATTTCCCTGAGAATATTGGATTCCTTGGCATCGCGAGTTCGAACTTTACCGATGCGTCGGCAGAGCTGCTGAGAAAAACGCAAATTGCAATTTTGGACATTGGAAGTCGAAAGGGGTAGCGGGATATCCTTCCGGTCGCAGAACCCCTCTCGAGCCGAACAGTTCCGTAACAGAATCATCGAAAAAGGAGGTGTCTGAGTTCGGAAAGAAGCTTCTCTTCCATTTGCCACGCAACTTGCGAAACACCGTCTACGTCGAAATGCAAATGGAATCTGTTGATTAAGTTTACCGTTGCATCGGGTTGGTTCTGCGTACCTCCGCGACCCTCGCAGCGGAAAGAAAAAGGGACGGCTACGACAGTCGATTTGACGTATCGACGGCTTTCCACTCCGCTTGCTACTCACGAATAATCGCGACGAGAGGAACGAAAAGAATGTTGAACGACGCGTCCATTTTCCCTGGGACACGTATACATAAACGCACACAGAGGGAGACGCGTCTCACAAATGGAGACAAATTTATACGGGCACCGGCCGAAAAAAAGCTGGCCACTTTTGATAAATTGAATCGATCGATTGTTTTTTGCCCTGTCGCCGACATTTTTCACGCATGAATTATTCCTTCCCCTCCGGACGTGGCACCCCGGAATCAAACATTTTTCCTTTTTTATAAACAATGCGTTTAAACTGTTACCAATAGAAATATTGAAAATTCATTTTTGTAAGCTTCGAACGGTGATGGATGGGTCAATCGTGACCCAAACATGATTCGAGAAAAATTGAACACTCAAATTTGTCGAAAACTTCAATGAAATAAAATTTCATTTTATTAACAAATATGATATTTTTCTTTTAACCTTCCACTCGTAATTGCACGCTACATTAACTCGTTAAATTTCCAATCCTTTAATTATTAAATCACTGCGAGCCGTGAGTTGTTTTCGAAATCTATTAAAAAAATTTTCACCACTGTTCGATATTCTTTTTTTTTTTTGCATTAATCTCCATTATTCGTGCAATTTAAATCGCTGCTAGCGGAACGTTTTTCCCAATGGAAGTAACAGAAAGTCGATTATAAAACCCTCGGATTTTCAACGTTGCGCGAGTAAAAATTGAAACGACGTGACGCTCTCGATCGTTCATTTATTAGCTTTCGCAGCGTGTTTCATCGACGTAGAAATAAAACAGAACGATTGGTTTTACAAACAATTAACGAGTCGATCGAAGGGTTTACGCAAAAGAGCGATGTTTTTCGATACAAGCGATTGCAGGGGACCAGAAAAGTTTGCGCAACCCTTTTCATGGAACGATTTTCAACTCCTGTCGTCGAAAAGTCCCAAGCGAAAAACAAGTGTTGATCGATGTTGCCGTACGAACAGATTTTTTTCGCGCTATTTTTGTTTACCCATCGTCAATACGTTTTTTTCATTTAACAAGAGGATTGGCTATCTGTACTCTCTCGAGCCACTCGAGGGATGCATTTTAAATACGCCGTTCGTCACTTCCCTTTTCTCTTTTTTTTTAACCAGATGCATATGAATCGAATATCTGCTACCATTATTTATGAGCTTGCCCTATTTTAAAAATTTGTTGTATGCGAGGACAGTTATTTTTACTGAAATATATTGAATTATTGACATTGAAAAATTCTTTTCGATTATTCATAATAATTTTACTAATATTTAGATAAGAAAAATATGTAATATCTTGATTTTCCTCGGGTGAATATTGAAATATAACTGCTTTTGAACATTATAGTCGCAGTCACTGAATTCTGAAAATCAATATATTGAAACTATGTCCACGTAGAGAACGTTCGTCGAGCAAATATCATTGTTCCAGTGGCGTAGAATCGGTAACTAGGAAGCGTGAATTTGCTCTTCTCGTGATAAAAAGAAGGAGTTGGGTGCAGCCGTCAAACGCAGCCGTCTGCGCCCCACTCTCGTCCAACCGAGTTATTAAGGCCTTATTAAATTGGTTCCTTTTTCACGAGAAACTTTTTACCTGACAAAAACGCCAGACGTAGGAACGAGTAACGAGACAGGCCTACTCTCCGGCTGCTTTTCGTACGGATTCTTTCCTTCCTCTATTTTCTTTTTCTATTTTATTTGCACGTTCCTTTCTCTCTCTCTATTCTTTCGATGCTCGTTTTCCTTCTGAAACGAGAAACGCGAATTATTCCCTCGTTTTCGTAGCTCAGACGAGTTCAGCGACGAAACCAGACGGAGAACCGTTGAAAATAAAAAAAAAAAAAGGACGCCTCTTCTAAGCCTTGCGTGAGATTTTAATTTCAACCGTGGCGAGCGCGTTTTTTGGAATATCCTCGTTCGTATTGTCGCTGGAATAATTACGAGCCACGCGAGACGTTTTTCACGAATCGCGCGAGGTAAACTCGTTATCTGACATATTTTCGAAGAATGATTTAATTTTTCAGGGATTTTATTGAAATTCTCTTCTGTAGCGGCATTTCGCTTTAATACGTTTAATAATAACTCGTTTACTTCATCGTTTCGCGTCATTCACGACGTAAACTTAATTGCATATTAGCCCGGCCACAATGACAAGATTCATCGAAAGCAAAAAGGAAAACAACGGCACAAAGCGTTCGACAAAATCGCGTCGCGATGCTAGATTCACGGGCCGATGGTCTCGTTTCACATTGTCGGGGCTCGCTTTGAGCGGGGCATAAACGGCGACAACGTTTTAAAACGAGGGAAAAAAGGGGTTTGCCATGAAATTTCTCCGAAGGTTGCTCTTTGTGCCGTTCCCTTTTCGCGTTTCAACAAATATTTGCACGCTACGGAAAACAGAAATACTTATTCGCGTCAAACAAGCGCGACGAACGGGGTGGTTGTTCGGGGGTTGAAGTTGAAGTGGAATTAAGTTCTCTTATTTTGTTTCGCATCGATCTTGAGAAAAAAATTGATAAAATTCCATTCGTTAAATAAATTTCGGTGTATTTGCTCGACGCTTAAAAATTGATCAAACTCTATGGAATCTCTCTTAAATAAATTTTATGGTGTTTGCACGACACTTTAGATCAATTTTTCATCGTCTCGAGCGTTCTCGAGATTTTGATGAAATCCCCCCACATCGAAACCTAAGGAAATTGCATTTTTGTCCGATAGTCGGACATATTATTGACTCGCACCACTGTGTCGCGGCGAAATTAATTTCTGTAACTGTTTGTTCGCAGGGACCTGCAAGGGAACAATATCTCGGTGATATTCAAGACGGACTTTGAAGACATGGCCACACTTCACGTTCTGTGAGTAGATCTGTTTGTTAAATAACGAAGCTAGTTACTGAAAGGGGATTCGAGTAAGGGGGTGGTTTTAGTCGCACGCCTTCTGCGAACAGAATTCCGCGAGGTGAATGCGACTGGTGAGTGAATGAAAAGTTGATGAAATTCTGTGAATGGTGTTATTTCGAAAAAGGGGGTGAAGTCAGTTAAATTCAAAGCAATTTGCCCTGTAGATTGCGTTCTTTCTTCTTGAAACTTTCTGTGTTTTGATTACGCAACAAACTAAATAAATGATGAATAATTAATTTTAGAATTAATTTCCAATTGACTTTGACTGATTCAGTGCTGCTACGCTGTGATGCAATAATTGTGAGATATCTTATTAGCATCACGATAATATTAAGTCTAATTTTTCAGAATTTATTCTTAAAAAATAATTTTCGACTTCCTAATAGAAGGATTAGTTTACCTTTTGACCTGGGTACACTACTAGTTCTAGGGTTAATGGTTTTGGTTACCTGTATTTTCCAGTTGGCTATCGGATAATCAGATTCACACCATCGAGAGAAGTGCCTTCCATGATTTAGTCGGTGTCGAGAAGCTGCGTTTGAACAATAACCAGCTACGCCATCTTCCTGATCTTCTCTTCAGCAACATGATGAACCTGAAAAGACTGTAAGTATTTTAGAATCGAATATAAAATAATGCTTTTTTTACTTATTACATTTGATACCTAAATAGAAAATTGTTAGAAAAATTCAGGAACTTATTTATTAAATAAGCATTCGAAGATCCATTAACCATTACATTAAAACACCAGATACCTTCAAAAGTAATAGTAACAAGAATATTCTCCGGACGAGCAACAAAATAGCTAATTATTTTGAAAGGTTCAAAGGTTACTCCTTTTACCGGATCCAATTACATAAATGTGTTTCAGTAGGAACCAATAGTTTCGTAGAAATTAAATGTACCTCACTGTATACGATACGTTTCAATTGATTAAACAATTTCTGAGAGAGAAAACCAAAAAGCATTAAGAAAATTCGAAATATATAAAAGAAATTCAATAATTTGATGCGTTCCAAGGTAAAGATCAGCTCTAAATTTCAGCCAAATTAATTGTATCTGTTAAATGAAGATATTTTGACGATCACTGATGGTCCAGTATTAATTATTCCAGTGAATTAAATCCTTAACGCTGTTCACAGAGAACAATCAAAGTTTAAAACAATAGGTAACTGATATCTGTGAAAGTCCATGCACAGTGTTGTACACAGGATGGTGGTTATCGCATAAACTTTTCAGACGATGGCCTACATACCGCACTCATGTACGTGTACACCCGGAAGTATCGGAGTTCGGTTCGTGAAACTCGCCGCGAACATCGAATACGCGTGACTTTTCCGCTCGGGTTTCAACTTTTTTTTTTTTTTTCTTTTTTGCAAGGCGATCGTACGCTTCTCGTTTCCAGTCCCCGTTTTCTCTGCCTCGAAAACGAACGAAAAGGAAAAACAAACAGGGAGAAAGGGGGAGAAAAAGCGAACGGAAGTTTCATCCATTGACCGTCGACGTCCCACTTTCGGAAGAGACTTGGAATTCTTTTTGTGCCCGAAACGATGTTACCGTCGACGGCTATTGTTCGATAAATGGAACAGATTTTTTTAGTTTTTGAAAGTGGATCGCTGAAACTCGGTGTGTTTGTTAATTGCTGCGTTGATAGACGGCTTTTAGAAACAGAAGCGCGCAATTTCTATTCGGATCTAGGTTTTCAATTGAAACTTGGAATATTGATAAATCGAATTGGTCACGAAAGATTTAATTAATTTTGCGACTGACAGTCTTAAAATAAAATAAAAATTCAACTTCACTTTTAATTGATTCTATCCAACTTTCTAATCAGCTATTAGAAGATAAAAAAAGAAAGATATCGAACGTCTATCGTGATCGAGAAGAAGTACATGGCTTCTGTCTTGAAGCGACACGATGTCAACTAGAAGAACAATCAGACAGTTGGTCCAGGTCGTGTTTTCTCGTCTAGTCTGACAAGAACGATTCAAGGCGAGAGGCGAGAAGTTGAAAAGCGAAACAAAGGAAGAAAAGAAGAGAAGAAGGCGGTGGAGATGGGCCATCTATCATCCGGCGAAGTGGCCAGACGAGACTCGAAAGTTTCACGAGTCTCGAGGCCCTTCCACTCTGCCATCGTACACGTAACCTACAGTTTCTGATGATAACGCCTGGATCAGCGAGCTTACAAAAGGATGTATTATGTTGCGAGCTTCGCTGAGATTCTCGCAGGCATCCGAACGTCTGATAATCCTTCATCTTGCGTGGATAAGTCGATGCCCGGCTTGGAAACCAGAGATGGTTAATACGTTCTTCAGAAGGGGGTGTTGCTCGAAAGAACGATACACCCCTTCAAAACTTTAACCTGATACGGTTACACTTGATTCTCGCCTTGATCTTCTCTTTCTCGATGAATCATCCCACAAAAGATGGTTTTAAAATAATTTTTAGACGAACAGTGGAAAATTTACAGAACGAAAAGAAAATGAAATACGGAATTGAATAAAAATTACGACTCTCTCCATGGTCCGTCGTCCGAATAGAATATTTTTCAAGCAAAATTCAACCCTCTCTCAGCTCGAACCACGAAATTAACGATTCATCTTCACTCGAGATTGATTAATCACCCGACGCTATATCACCGCGAAGTTTACACGCAGCCGGCAATTAAGGGCCACAAATTATTAATTAAATCACCGTTGTCCGCGGCGCGTGGATCCCTCGGTTCGGACCATCTTTCGATGCCAGAACGACGGCGAAACGTGTGATTAACCCATCGTAGGAAACATAGAAAGCTGTTCGAGGTGGTAAGAGGATGAAACTCGCCTGTAATAAATGGTTTGACACAATGGAAAGGGGCGCGGACACACGGCTGATTAGTATCACTGCGTCGTGTAAGCATATTGTGCCGCTTGAAACGCGATACCTCGAACCCATGCTGAAGCGTACAAGCTTGTATTTACGATGCAATAACATTTGTTCGCTGTACACTTAGCCCGATAATAACCGGGACAAACGTTTCACGTCGCTTTGACAACTGGGTGTCGCGGTGATTTAAGCAATGAAACGGTTCGCTGAACGTCTCGGGATTCTAGCCCGAGTCAGATTTACAACTGACTATTATTTCGTCGCGTTTTGACAGGGTTTCGATGGTTTCTTCCTCTCGGTAGACAAACAGATATATTTTTGAAATTTCTTCGATAATAATTCAAGTAAAACAAGACTACAGAAAGTCGGAATTTCTTTGGTGATAGACGAACAGCTCTTATAATCCCAACACTATCAATCTAGCTTCGTTTCATCCAACTCTTATCGCGCGGGCACAAAGCACACTGGTTGGAGCAACATTCGGAATCGAGCACGGTAGACGCCACGAGGGATGGAGAGAGACAGACAAGGTCCAGGAGGTCCTTTTGTTAGTTCCTGTGAAGGAGCGGCTACGTCGAAATTCGGTAATTGCTTTCTGGATTGGCTGGAGCGCAGTGGGAGTTTAATCTACCACTCTCACCGGTGGCTAGAAATTATTGAAATTCTACCGGATCTACCATCGTGCGACTACCATCTCGACGCGTGACATTATTCCAAAGAAAAAAAAGGAAAAAAGAGAGTTAATTTAGTGAAGAATCGTACTTGTTCGATCAACTTGATAAAAATTTAATTTTGTACCGAGATTGATTCAATTTAGAGTAAAAATTCACAACTCTAATTATCTACAGTTGTTGATGGAAAGTAAGTTCGATCTGTCCGATGTTAAGAATTGCTGGTTGAAATTAGGAACTTATCACGATCAAGCTGGAACACCGGTTCCAAATGAAACTGGCAGCAATGAAAGCCAGCCAACGGCTTCCTGTTGCTCGTTGCTACGTGTCTACGTGGTCGAAATTCGGTAATTGCTTTCAGGATTGGCCCTGGTAAGCAGGAGTCTAAATCTGCCAGTTCTTGCCTTATGTTTCGCGCTCTTCCAACTCCGGGCACAGCATCACGGTTCGTTTCTCCTCAATCCGGTCTCCCTTTTCCCTTCTCTCAACCTCTCTATTTCGTATTTTTCTTTCTTCCCTTCTCGTCTCGTCGAGATATTCTCTCTGCTCGTGGTCTCTCTGGCAGACATAATTACAGGCTTGCACGGGTCCCGAGCCAATAGATGGTCAACGTTGAACCGACCACCAAGACCTCTAACCTATCATCGCGAACGTCTGTTTAAGTCCAGAGAAACGTTTCGTGGATCTTGCCACGCGAGACGTAACGCAATCTATTTAAATGAACCTCCGGTTTAGCGGAGCTTCCATTATCGTGATTGACTGTACCGTTAAAGAGAACGATGCATTTCGTAAAACATTGGACGTGCATTATTCATGGGGATGCGTTTACAGGAAATTATGGCGATGAATATGAAACGGGTTTAAGGATGATTAGGTTTCGATGGTGATTTAGAAGGGACAGGTGAATACCCGAAATTATCAGCGAGGTCGAAAACATTGAAATTAATACTCAAACCTGATTTTTTCCGAACCCGAATGATTTATTTTAAAAGGGTTGCTGTCTCTTCAATGCCTATGAGTATAGGCGGTGGAAATTTTTGAATGGCTCGCAAAAACTCAAGAAGGATACAAAGACATCGCGTGAAACGATAACTCGTTACCCGTATAACGACCCCGTGAAACCTTAAAGAACTCTATAACCTCTCACGTGACTGGTGCACGTGCACACGGTCACACGTGAGCAGAGACGACTGTGTCTACAAAGAATTCCTCACGGGGTAGGATCGTTCTCAGAACTACGACGACAATTGACAATCGTTTCAATTATTTATCGAGTTTGTAGAACGAACTTGGGAACAACTATAACAAAGTGGAACACACACCGGCGCTGTTACCCGTTGCACCAGCCGACCTTTAAACTCGGGGAAAGAAGAAACTTTGAAAGGTCGACGCACCGACTGCATCCTCGATTCAACATCGCGATTCTATGCAATTGAACCAATCATCCGTCATCGATCCTACTTCGATCGTTGATGCACTTGATGCCGTAATTGACGCAACTCGATTGTTCAGTTGTTTGAATAGCAAATGGTACGGAGAAACTTGTTCCCTCTGAATTGTTGCTAATTCATTTGATTACAGAGGTGTTTAGCTCCGATGATCACATCTGTCAGTTTCAGTACCGTATTATTAGACTGCAAACACCTTAAGAGACTGATATTTTCGAAGGTTTCATAACTTCGTTAGATGACAAATAGATGGTTATTAAAATTGAAATTTTGTATTCTGTTTCAGGGACCTCAGTCATAATCAAATCGCCACCATTGGTCCGAAGACTCTCAGAGGAATTTCATCTTTGAAATACTTGTAAGAATATTCTAATTAACTGAAAGAGAATATATTATCTCAGTTAATTAATTTATTATCTTTTTAGGCTTCTCGATAACAACGTGTTGACCTGCATCGACGAAGCATCGATACGAGAATTAAAGGACCTAGAAATATTGTAAGCAAACAAATCATCTGAAAATGAAATCTGATAACTCAATTCGCCATTGTTTTCTTGCAGAATGTTAAATAATAATAGGCTAACAACGTTGGGCAAAGAAATGTTGAATGGTATGTCACATCTGCGAACATTGAAGCTAGTTGATAATGCACTTTCATGCGACTGCCATTTGGCCTGGCTTTCACGACACTTGAAGACCTATCCTCGTCTTGGACAACATACACGTTGCGCCTCCCCGATTCATTTAAAGGATCGAAATATCGCTGATTTACAGGTTCGAATCTAAAGACGTTTTAAATTTTTCTATTTAAACAAAACTACTCTGAATGCGGTGAAATTTGCGAATAACTATTTTACCCTGCAAGCACTGTGCAAGGGTTAATTGCCTCTTTGCAGGGTCTAAAAACAGCCATCTCTTTCGCAGATAATTTTAATGGTCCTTTTTTGTGCACATAGGAGCACGAGTTCAAGTGTTCCGGGCCGGTTCAGCGGACAGGATCAGAGTGCAGCGCGGAACCGCAATGCCCGCATCCTTGCAGATGCGCCGATGGTATCGTCGACTGTAGGGAGAATTCTTTGACGAAGGTGCCCACCCATCTTCCCGAGGACACGAACGAGCTGTTCGTAAACCATGTTTTACCCTATCCACCGGGTAGAGTTGCCGAGCGTTCGATATTTTCAATAAAATATTAACCGACCCTATTTAACAATTTATTTTATTAACACGTTGATTATCATGGGAATTAAAGATGCTTCAAATCTAATATAACAGAATAATATTTTTTTAAAGTTTTTATAATGTTTTACTATAAATTTGATTGCAATCTCAAGTTATCATAAAATGTTACGGAGTTCCACTAGCGATCGCTTATAAAAACCGATTAACTCGATGTTGACACGGAACTTTCTCGGTTTTTTCACCTCGGGCAACTTCTACGCGGTGAAATCGAATTCCAAGATGAGACTGAAAGTTTTTTCAACTTATTCTCCGTTGTCAATCATTCGCAGACGTTTGGAGCAGAACAGCATCACGGAAATCCCGCCGAAGGCTTTCTCTCCGTACAGAAAACTACGCAGGATGTGAGTGACGTTCGCAATTAATTTAATTTATGTTTCTGTTTGTACGAGTTTTTATATTCTCTGCTAAAATTCGGTATTTTCTTCTTTCCGTTACCCGATCGATGGCCAACAGCGACCTCAGTAACAATCAAATAAAAAAGGTGGCTGCAGATGCGTTTCACGGTTTGAAATCGTTGGAAACACTGTACGTATGAAACATGCAAATGCAATAGATAAATCCGTCGATGCATTTTTGGCAACTTGAATTATTTTTCCAGTGTTCTGTACGGGAACAAAATCACCGAACTGCCGAACGGTTTGTTTCAAGGATTAACCAATTTACAACTACTGTAAGTGAATTATTAAAAAACAATATTCAATCATCATTTTTATAAATCGACACACGAACCTATCGTTTTGTCGTTTCATAACCGACGAAAGGATATCTGCAAAAAAATACAGAAAACAAAAAGAAAGGAAACGTATATTGATAAAACGAACCGAACTTTTCAGGCTGCTGAACGCGAACGAGATATCCTGCATACGGACCGATCTGTTCCGAGATCTGACCAGCCTGACTCTGTTGTCATTGTACGATAACAACATCAGATCCCTTGCCAATGGAACTTTCGCCAATCTACGGAGCATTGAAACGCTGTTTGTATCCCGCCACTGAACCGTTAATTTATACAAATTACCGCGGCTTTAACGCTTCCAGCCCTTTTCATTCGATGCACGATCGAATTGCAAACGCGTGTTCGTTCGTCGTTTCGTTAGATTTCTCTTTGAATATTCGGATCACGGTTGTTTGTTCATTTAACTTTTCTCGCTAAAAGTAACACAAATTATTTCTATAATTCTTGATATAGGTGTAATAAGAATTATCGTAATATTAAATTTGGTAGGGGCCAAGGTGGGCGTGGTCCTCATCATTTTAGGATTCTAAGATCCTAAGATTCTAAAAATCCGAAACTCTAATCCGAATTCCAATACTTCAGAATTCTAAAATTCCAAAATTTTAACATTTGACAATGTTAATAATGTTAAGAGCCCCAGCCCACCCCCTAAAATTCTAGTTACGCCAACGTCTACAATTATTTGGAAAAACGTGGAAACTTAATGGTGCAATTCTTTCTTTCCCCACAGACACTTGGCAGAAAACCCGTTCATCTGCGATTGCAATCTTCGATGGCTGAACGTTTACCTTCACGCGCACCCTATCGAGACGTCGCAAGCTAAATGCGAGTTGCCGGAAAAATTGCACAAGCGGAAGATCGATTCGATAAGGGACCACAAGTTCAAATGTAAGGGTAAGCATGATTCAATTTCTATGATATTTCTCTTCTAAACGCTCTCTGCTGGAACACGGATACAGGTCGGTAGCGCACGAAGCGATCTTCGTCTAAAACGTGAAATGAATCAGTGATTAAATAATTGAAATAATTTTTCTCGAACCACGTGAATCGTTTCTTTTCATTAAGAAACGAGTATCAGAAGCGTATCTTAAAAGCAAGCACCAACCCGAAGGGAGAGTTAATTCGAGCAACGAGTGTTCAAGAATAACAACAGCAACTCCCTGCTTTTCCTTTCCGCGGTTGTATATTTCAGCTAATTGCACTTAGCCGCACGGAATATAATCGTATTCAGCTTCCATGCGAGCAGCAGCTTCAGCGAAGGCTAAATGACACCGGAAAATAAACACTTCGCTGGCAGTGTGCTACCCTGTAGCCGCACATTATCGTTACCCGGCATTTCCGTAAACGAGAACTTACTTCTCCTGGTCGGAAGTAAAACTTGCCGGGAACTTTCCTAACTTCCACCTTCCTCGACCGCCTTCGCGAAAGAGGAAAAAAAAATTTACGTCAGAGTCTTGGCCAGGTATTTTCCACGAAATTTAGGTGAAACATTGCTCTTTTCTCTCGTTTGGAAAACTCTTGCTTGAAGATTCTTCTGGTTTAGGTGAAGATTTCAGTGTGTTGAAGTGTTTATGGAAAAAATTTCAAACATTTTATCTAGAAAATGATTCCACGATTTATCGCGAGTCCCATTTGTACCACGATACACATCGACGATCTTAAAAAAAAAAAAATGACAATCTGGTATCTCGAGTTGCGATCGCATAGGAGCAGATTTACTACTGGCAAAAATCCATGGTGGTCGCGAACGCGTCGATTAATCGAAGTCGAAGAGGCAACGATCCCGCGTGCCGGGTTACCATGTTAAAGTCGCGGCGATAAATTTTGATAATGAACAACAGCAGCGATATCATTAAATTGAGCATCGGCGTACTTTCTCCTTCCTTCTCTCTCTACCGTTAATTGAGTGTTGAATGTCATGTGCTTCGTGTTGAATATGTTTATGTATGAGTACGCGCCCGCGCGGGTGATTTATCATCGCATTATACGCCGCGTTACAAATTGTTCGCCACTATACACGTACGTAATTATATCAGTAATTTGCGTTCTACGTTTATTAACAGGGCCCACACGCTGGCTCGCCCGGCTACTTTCTCCGCGGGTCTTTGTCTTCGGGATCATTTCTCTCCGCACGATTGATTTCCAATGATCTTAATCCCAACCGATGAACTATATTCGGGTTGAGTCGAGGATAATTGGTTAAATGAAATTGGGAGACCGGAAATTAAATTCGAATCGTGGCGTAAAAGCGTGTTAAAACGTTGAGACGAATCAAAATGAATTTTAATTAAGGATAAAAGGCATTCTTGGGAGTAATTTCGGTGCGCGAAACTTAATCACTGATTCATTCGAAATGGACACGTTTCTACGCTTGTAAGAAGGAAAGGCAGATCAGACAGAGTTGTTTGAAGTAGATTGTATCCGGTTGTTTGTATCTAGGCGACGAAGAGCTCTTGACGAAGAGGGCTGGCGAGTGTATCCTGCCCGGCGAGTGTCCAGCCCCGTGCGTTTGCAATGGTGCAACCGTCGATTGCTCTAACAAGAAGCTAACATCGATACCAAAGGAACTGCCAATCTACACATCTACCTTGTGAGTACCACTCACGATCGTCTTGTAAATAAATAAACTATACCAATCCAAAATTAACCATTTGCACCTTCAGGCTCTCCCTGTCTTTAATTAATTTTTTACCCAAGTACCATAATACTTTTTTGTGGAAAATAATAAGACGCAAAATTTGGCGGCAAGAAAAGTACAAAATTCAAAAAAAAATGTTCAATTTGGAAGGCCTAAGTTTCTCCCTAAATTACTTTTCGAACTAATCAATTATCGACTAATATTTTTCTCTCTCTTTTACTGTTTCAAACATATATAGTTTGTCCCAGTTGCACGAGACAGTCTGTATACTATAGAAACTATTCCAATTGGAAGTTCAGTTTGCCTAGTACCGATTTAATAAATCAGAACAGCAAGAGAGAAAGAAAACGATCGATTCGATCGATCGGGTGATGTTCGAGTCTATCCCGGTCTCCAACGTGCGAGAAAATTAATTCAAACGACCGACAAGATAATTATCTGATTAAAAGCTGACCGGGACAGGGGAACGAGAAAAAGGGACAATGAACGTCGAGCTATTATTCGAAATAAATTATTCCAACTCGTTTAATGGATCGACGCCCCGTAGCGCGATTAATTGCTCGCCGTATCAGACGCTAACGATAGACTCTAACTTTCTCGTCTCATGGCTTTCTTTGTCCTTGCATCCAGACTGTTGGCCAACAACGAGCTGGATAAGATCAAAGCAGATGGCCTGTTCGAGAAATTGCCCGAGTTACAGCATTTGGACCTGAGGAAGAATAAAATATCGCGAATCGAGGCGTCTGCTTTTCAAGGAGCCCATAAACTCACCTATCTGTAAGTTTTCCTATCGTTCCATCTATTTTTCTATACTACGTCTGTTAGCTAAAGTATGTCGATCGTAACAATTTTCTTATTGGACTGTCAGACCCAATGGTCAATCAAGAATAATATATGTAATTGGAAAATTGTAATGTGTTTTATAGAAGTTAAATACATAGTTAACGTTGATTGGCATACCAGAAATAGTCCACGTTTAATAAATCACACATTGATGTGGATTATTAAGAATTCATTTTTTAATCTATTTATACCAGTATCCTTTTTTTAGTACAATGGATAAAGAATTAAAAAATTGTATACAGAGTACGGTTATACTGTTTGTCTTTTTCTCTCTTTTCGAATACGTTTCTCGACGGGGAAGTTTCGAATAACGGGGCTGCATTCAGACCGTCGAGATTACTTGCGTTATTTGTGCCTAACTCGATCGGGACTTTGAAACGAGCTTTAACGAAGCAGAATAGGATTTAATTTTCAAAGGCAATTAACGGGACAATGGGTCGATTAATTAGATAGCCGGAGGGGCGGCGGTGGCTCGCCGTGTGTATTTTCGTCCAGACCAGTGCAAAACATCATCTGAAATAACCCGTGTCCCTAAAGAAAAAATTAATTGAACGGCCGAGATATAAAAAGCATTCTTACAAGGTAGACACATATCGTGTAAAATTTATAAAAATTCTAATAAATTGTCGACTTCCCAAAATTTCATTTCGTTCTGATATTCATCACTTTGACCGCATATGAACAACAAAAGAGATCTACTTCTTCTTTTAATATTCCGAAACTTGATGGTACATTCTTGTCCCGTGCAATAACGAGCTCTCGTTTCACAGACTCTTGTCGGAGAACAGGCTGAGGGAAGTTCACAACAAAATGTTCACCGGCTTGACGAATCTTAAGACTCTGTGAGTAGAAACTTTTATACACCCTCGTAAAACCGTATCGCAAGGAAACTGTTATCCCCTTTGAACGTCATTTTCACAGGAACCTTCACGGAAACGCTATAACCTGCATCATGCACGGCTCGTTCGACGGATTGACTCATATACGCACCATGTAAGTTTGCCAAGACATTTTTTTTTTCAAATTTAGGAATTTGAATATTGTAGCACAAAGCAAAATACATACGATAATTAATAGAGAATCCTGCCGGACCAGACAGGAATATTTCACGACACGAATATTTCATTATAACGATATTACAGAATAATCGTATGAATTACGGTCCATCAATATAAACGTTACCACAGTACGGATTTATTAATGATTGCATGTCTGAACGGGTTATAATCCATTTGATTTCTTTCCGTTCAAATATTTCACGGTCTCGCGGGGACGATTAATGACAGTCGAATAAATTGCTTCGTATTTTCAGCAACATGCAAGGCAATCCTTTGTCGTGTAATTGTCATCTCGCGTGGTTCGCCGGATGGCTTAGGAAACGAGACATGTCTGGCGTGGTGGGACACTGCCATGACCCGCCACGATTGAAAGACGCGATCATTAAGGATATACCTCATCACGAGTTCAAATGCAACAGTATGAGATCCTCCTTTCACTTGATATTTTTTTCGAGAAAAGAAAAAGAAAAATAAAGATCAACGACTCACCGTTTATTTTATAGACGACAGCGTGGGTTGCTTGGGAGACGATTACTGCCCACCCCAATGTAATTGCGCGGGGTCAGTGGTGAGGTGTTCGAGGTCTCAACTTACAGAGATTCCACGTGGGATTCCACCGGAAACCACCGAGTTGTATCTGGACGTGAACGACATCAAGACGATCCAACCGGAGAGACTGAACCACCTGAGGATTCTTACTAAACTGTAAATAAAATACACCCCCGAAAAACTTTCGTCTCAATGTTCTTACCCTCGCAGAGATTGAAGATAACCACAACCATGGATCGTTTCTTCTGATTTCAGGGACCTGAGCAACAATCAGATAGGAATGTTGTCGAATGACACCTTCAGGAACCTCACGAAATTGTCTCACTTGTGAGTCGACGTTTTCTCCCTGAAAAATTTGGTTTTCTATTAGTTCTAAAAATTATAGTATTTTTATTTATTAATTAGCCTTTGGACCCATTTTGTAGAGGGCTTTCTATTTATTATTATAAAAAATATTGAATGCAAATTTTAATTGCAAGTGGACCCCCGAAAATTTGATAAACCTGAGTCTCAGAAATCTTAATCCAGTCCCAATGCTGGAACATCATAGCAATTCAATTTTTCTTATAACAATTCAATTCTATCCTATGACATGATCAGAATCTAATGTACGATTGTTCTGTTGACAGAATTATCAGCTACAATAAGTTGCAGTGCGTCCAACGCAACGCTTTGGCCGGCTTGAAATCACTGAGAATAATGTGAGTTTCAAATTGCATTATTTCTGTCCTCGAACAATGAATAGATTTACGTCTTTGTTTCGCTGATTCGATATTCCCGAATGTCCGCGATAAATTACCTGGTGCAAAAGAATTACTGGATAGAACGCGGTTAAAAGAGGCGGAATCGTTGGGTAGGCGAACAAACGAGGGGTCATTTTTCTCCCGAAAATACAATTTCTGAATGAAACGAGCACCGTTTCCGGGTATGATTTTGGTTTCTACGCAATTTTGTAAAACGCAGCCGAAGAGTAACGATCGATAACGAAACGGTACCCGTTAATATTCGATAATGGAACAAATGAAACCAATGATGCAATCTGTGTTAAATTAACGGGGCGAAATTTCACGTTCGTTCGTTTGTGATTTATCGGGCTACGTTTATTTTCGCTGATTGCGTTATTAATTTCTTCGCGGGAAAGCATTTTGAGGAACGACGCGAGGTTCTTTCTCAACGCGATTATTTATAACTCGTTCGTTAAATTAACTGCTCGTAGCAGAAATTACGTGTGAAAATAATTTGTCCGACGGCATTGTTTATTTAATTCGACGTTAACGATAGACGAAAGAAAATTAATTGTATTACAATAGCAAATGATTATCTGATCAAGTGAAAGCGATATAATAACGCGGTATCGATACGAATTTATTAATCGTATTAGTGATGCTACTATCCGCTGCTAATAATACCTGATAATACGGTATTAATAATACGAACAGTGTATTAACGTTGTGTATCAATTTTACATTAAGGTTCAATTGATTGGTAATATTCTGGTAGTCGAAAATTCGAATAATTCGATAGGCAGGAAGCTTCGGGTTTTGATGCTTAAGACTCCCACAGCTTGTTTCGCGGAAACTGTCGAAAACATAATTCACGTGACACAGCATGGGGAGGCTTCATCAACGACTATACACCGAATAATGATCATTTGAAATTCCGATTTTACATCCAGGTCTCTCCACGGCAACGACATATCGGTGATCCCCGAGGGCGCGTTCGAGGATCTTAAATCTATAACTCACCTGTGAGTATATCTCTAACGCTTCTGAAGCGAACGCATTGCTTTACACGGTGTCGATAATTCACCAACACGGCTCTGTTTATAGCGCTCTGGGGTCCAACCCGCTCTACTGCGACTGTAGCATGCGATGGTTGGCCGAATGGGTGAAAAAGGACTTCGTGGAAGCCGGTATCGCGAGATGTATGGAACCCCCGGCGATGAGGGACAAGTTACTACTGACGACACCTGCGATCGCGTTCCAATGCAAAAGTATGTACTTCCTGGACAAATATCGCGATCGTGGCAAAAGTGGCCAGTTTTCACCAGAGGTGTGCAATCTATTAATCTACAAAGTTTCGTTGAAATAAACGAATGAGAGATTCGTAGTATCTCCTTGTTCTTCGGCGACTGACCACTTTTGTATCACGATCAATCCGGTGCCCGGTGCACGTGCAAGATGTTTTTGATTTCTCACTGGCCCATGACGCAGTCTGGTTTAGTTGATGGTTTTTTGGCCCGTCTATACAATGGGGTACTAAAATTGCTCATTAATCGTAGACCTTTCTTCCGCGCAGCCAACCAACAGCCAGCCGAAGTCTTGGCCAAGTGCGACCTGTGCTACACCTCGCCGTGCCAAAACGGAGGATTTTGCGAGGCGCTCCCGGACCGGAAGTTCCGTTGCAAGTGCGCGCCAGGATATCATGGGGACCGGTGTGAACATAAAATTGACGCGTGCTTTGGAAATCCTTGCCGGAACTCCGGAACATGCAAAGTACTGGAGGAAGGAAGATTCAGGTATCGAACGTCCCAGCCAAACAGACGGTAGATACCATTGGCCAGCTCGTTCGGGTCTGATTTTTGATGTGTTCGTTCAGTGGTGCCCGTTAGAAATTATTTGTTCACAACAGATTCTGATCGAATTTAGAAATGTAGAAATTAACACTTTGGATAAATTTTTATTAACCCTCGGACGACGGACCATGGAGAGAGCCTCAATGGTTCAAGGGTTAATTGCATTGAAAATTTGAGTCAGAATCAGAATTCTGTTATGAACCCACAGTCACGAGTTTGAACCTGTATATTCACTGTAGATAAAAGAATTTCCTTTTAAACTTCCCGCTATGGAAGGTACGATTGCAAGTAGTAGTGCTGAGCGAAATTGAGTAGACATGCACGAAAAGTATCCAATGTATTTGATGAGAAAAGTAGTTTTGAGTACCCTTGTTAGCACATTGCATCGTTCTTTGAAAAGAAGATCAAAATTTCTAACGTTCAATGAAAATTTATTCCACTGAAAAGTGAATGTATTACCGTACGCAGTAGTACGAGTCAATCATTATCGAATCCATCTGAATACTTTCGAAAGAAGATTTAACAATTTCTCGGCAAAGTACGTCTTATGAAAAACATGACGTATATTTGCATTGTAATGGAAGTATTTAACATATTGATACGTAGTTTATAGAGCGTAGTTTCAGTAGCAGTAAATTGCACGTGCAAAAAGCGTGCACTGTTGTATGAATAAATAAAACGGGACCTCTGCACGTGAGCCCCGAAGAGTAGCAGCTACACGTAACAATTTATCGACGAAACGATTACAATTCATCGGTTGTAACTACTGCAAACAATTGTTAACCGAAAAATTTATTTACCTAACAAATTTCAATGTTGTATCGATTCGAAATTACATACTGCAATGAAAAAACTATTAAACTTTATCGTTTCAATTTCATATGATTGTAAATATAAACAATTCAATATTTATTTGAATCTATGTAAAATCAATTTTCTAAATATCAATTTCGCGAAATACCGAATGAAAAATTTAACAATTTTCCAAATTTTTCGACAAGTCGATGAATTGGTTACGATTGGCAATATCGATTGGCGGATATATCGCGAACAAAGATCACGGTCAATGTCTCGATTGACGATCAGTCGGTGTGTGACAGTTGCGACTGCGCCCCCGGGTACAAGGGACTTCGATGCGAGAACAACGTCGACGATTGCGAGAACAACAAATGCGCCAATAACGCAACCTGCGTCGACCTCGTACAAGCCTACAGATGCGACTGCGTCCCAGGATTCATGGGCGAATACTGCGAGGACAAGATACCCTTTTGCACAAAAGGACACGACCCATGCGAAAACGGGGGCCGATGCGTCGATCACGGGTCCCACTATAGCTGCGAATGCCCAATCGGCTTCACCGGCCTCAATTGTTCCACAAACTTGGATGACTGCGTTAATCATATGTGTCAGGTGACAATTTTTTCCCATATTTCTTTTTCTTTCAAAAATTTCGAACACCCTGAGCTAAAATATTCTACACGTTCCAGAACGGTGCTACTTGCATCGACGGCATAAACAATTATGAGTGTAAGTGCGCGGCGGAATATACAGGGAGATATTGCGAGGCAGCACCCTCCACTGCCATGCTTTACCCACAGACTAGCCCATGTGCCCACCATGACTGCCAGCATGGTGCATGCTTCCAACCAGCTCCCGCTTCCGTCGCGGACTATCTTTGCCAGTGCCACCCCGGCTACACCGGTAAGTAATTCATTCAATTCCATTGAAAACCCTTTCAATTAATTTTCAACGTATTCCTCAAGGAAAACGATGCGAGTACCTGACGAGTTTGAGCTTCGTGGACAACAGCTCGCTGGTCGAGCTGGAGCCACTACGCACGAGACCGGAAGCAAACGTGACCATCGTGTTCACGACCACGCAGGAAAACGGGGTTCTCCTCTACGACGGCCAAAATGGCGGCCACATAGCCGTGGAATTGTTCAATGGACGTGTTAGGGTCTCGTACGACGTGGGCAATTACCCAACATCGACGATGTACAGTTACGAAATGGTAGCCGATGGTAAGCCTCACGTGGCGGAGCTTCTGGCGATCAAGAAGAACTTCACGATGAAGGTGGACCGTGGTCCTGCTAGGAGCATCATTAACGAAGGTCCCAAGGAGTACCTGAAGCTTGTCACCCCCATGTACATCGGCGGCGTCGCGCCGGAAATAGCCTACATCGCGTTTATGGAGTTTCACCTGAGAAACATTACGAGTTTCCAAGGTAGAATTGTAATATAGATTATGATATATAATCTGATAGAAAAATTTCATTAAGGAAAGTTTTGTTTCTTTTTGCAGGATGTATTTCTGAAATGTGGATCAACCACAAGTTGGTGGACTTCAGCAACGCGGCTAAAATGCATCGAGTATCTCCTGGATGCATGTCGAACGAGGAAGAGGCTGACGAAGCGCGAGACGTCGTCGAGGCGGATGGAATTATGGTTAATATTGGCAGCAACGAGGATTCCATGGCACAAGAGAACATGGCTCACGAACATTCCGGTAAATATTTCAATTTTCATTTGAATGGATTCGAGGGATATGAATTGAAATATTCATTTTATGAGTGTGTAATTAATGATAGACATTGTGATGACTGGACCAGACACGATAATATCCGATCCTTGTGCGGGACACGAGTGCAGAAAAGGTTCGCAATGCGTGCCATCGCCAGGTGGAAACGGATACACGTGTCGATGTCAAACCGGATGGCAAGGACGGTACTGCGAGAAAGGTAATTAAAATACCGAATGTTAGGATCTGAAATTTAGTTTCGAATCTCTATGTCAAGATGTAATACGGTGTATACGTTTCTGTTACAGCACCGACTTGTCGTAAGGAACATACTAGAGAGTATTATAGCGAGAACGGATGTCGGAGTCGACGACCAGTTAAGCTTGCCAAGTGTTGGGGTAGTTGTGGAAACTCGTGCTGTCTGCCACGGAAGACAAAACGGCGCAAGGTACGATTTACTGTATTAAATATATCACTGCTTATCTCAATATTGGGTGCACCACTCATTTATCAGTGGTACAGCTAAATTATCCCCATCCGTCAGTAGTATAACTCCTTGAATGGTCAGACACACTTGAAACTCAAACGTCTAATGCAATTTATAATGGAACAATGTTGCACAGACCATTAGAACGGTCTTAAATAAAGTAAAGATAAATGAAATTGTCACTGATAATCCTGAGAAGGGTTCAGTGGTCACAGAGATGCTGAAGCCTGCTCTTTACATAAATACAGTAGTATTACCCTACGAATGGTCAGACATTCTTGAAATTCAAACGTCTAATGCAATTTATAATAAAACAATGTTGCACAGATTATTAGAAGGGGCTTAAATAAATAAAAAGTAAATTAAATTATCACTGATGACCCTGAGAAAGATTCGGTGGTCGCAGAGATACTGAAACCTACTTTTTACATAAATACAGTAGTATAGCCCTACGAATGGTCAGACATCTGCGAAAATCAGACGTTTGAGGTAATTTATAGCATTGTAACGTTGTATAGAATAATTTTATTTTTTAATAGGAGTATTTAAAGTAGTATAAACCTTTCAATAATCAAACAAACTTCCCAAAAGAATTATTTTGTCACACAGTCAATTTTCTATACCATTCTTAGTGAAAGAGTGAAAGACACCTGTCGACTACAAAATTTCAAGTTCAATGGCTACTTAACGATCAATTAACTGCAGGTACGATTAATCTGCGCGGACGGGATGCGGTACACGAAGGACGTCGATTTGGTGCGCAAGTGCACGTGCACCCGGAAGTGTTACTAGCCAGGATCGAGGGACGTAGGGCGCCACAGGTGTTCCATAAATACGCGTCGAGGCGTATCGAGACCGAGAGGAAACCCCGGAGAACCGAGACAGTGTCGCAATTCGAACTTTCCAAGCTCGCGGACACGAGCGATGCGCCGAGAGTCGATTGGTCATCCGTACAACCGTGTTCTCGACTCATCCTCGTGGTACGCGTGACAAGAAGATTTTTGGCCAAGCTGGGACTATCTGCGATTAAAAGAAAAAAATGAATAAAAAAACGAACTGTCAGCCATGGCCGAAATCTACGATGGACATATGAATAAAAAAAAAAAAAAAGAAAAAAGAAACACACAAGCCGGCTCAGTGTGATATGTATAATCGAACGAGCAGAAAGAAGTATATTAACTATTAATATCGTGCGTACGTGGACTATTGATTACGAAGAACAATTCAATGCATAACTAGGTATTATATTAATCGACGTGCATATGTTCAACGATGATTAGGAGAGTGGATAACGGTGCGAGAACATGGGACCGCTGATCATACACATTAACGCATGTACACGAATGTGTTCGAAGATTTGCTGATACCAAGCAGAATCGTTCGCTCAGTGTGAAATAGATCTAATGGATGATAGCGATTTATTGTAAAGAATTCACGTTTAATATTGTTGGGGTCTTTCAGACGTTTCCCTCTTCATTCAGTGTGTTCCATTGTCAATGGTAGGATACGATCGAAGTTATCTTTTGGATCAAAAAGGTATTGGCACACTTTACTTCTATTAAAATAATTTTATTTTAAATAAAGCACACTGCATTAATGATATTTCAATCTCAATGTAACTAGATGTGCCAATACTTTCTGGATTCACTGTAATTACTTCAGAATCAACTTTTCCGTTTTCCAATGTGCCCACGAATCGTTCTGAAAGATCAATATATTTCGTAGTAAGATTTCACACTTTGTGGTGTAAAAGAAAGCTTTGCTAGCGAGTTTAAGCTTCGCGCAACTATGTTTCCAGATCCGTTGCATGCTCGCAATCATTTGTAATTGTAAGTTGTAACGCGGTCGAACAGAAGTGTAAAAAAATAACTCCAAAATGTATTAGGAATATTAAAAAGAAAGGGAAAACCTTCTCCAAGTTTAACTGTGGAACTCGATGGTTTGTTAGGTCTATTGTCCTCTGAGTAAACGTTTAATAGTGAACAAGTTCTCGAACAATGATCGACGTCTGGCAGATGATTCGGGGATCGAAAAAGGAAGCATTTCCATGTCGACTCGTTTCGTGTCTTGATTATCCATTTCTTTTCATTTTTTTTTTTTTTTACGAATATTTATAACTTTTCGGTATTTTAGTGGGATAATTTAACGAAGAGCGTGTTTAAAAGACGTACAGGTGTTTCTTGCCTTTTTCATTCATAATTTATTATTCAGTTTAACCCTTTTAACCCGACATCCTTGCACGATAAATAAACTTTAATTTGAAATATTACAAATTTCTGCAAGCTACTTAAATTTCCATTTATAAAATTAACACAAAATTTAAGTACTGAGATATAATAACCAACTATTGCGACTGTAATTGGATAAACTATGATCTAATATTTATTTATTTATTTAATTGTACAAATTAATGTCGAGTTAGAAGAGTTAATAAAAAATCTACGATTCGATGTACATTTTTGTCTCAGAAAGGTATGAAAATTTCTTTCTGCGATTGAATACTTGAAAAAGATAAGAAACAACCGGGAGCACCCTGAGGTCTCCAGAAGTGAAAAGACCATAAACGACTCTTGGAACCTCGAATTCTTCATTCCACGGCCTAACGTTTCGTTTTCGAGGTTCGATCGAAGTCGAATTGCGCGAGAAAAATGGTCCAAAAAAAATTTGTACGACCACGTGTGAAAAGTAAAATGAAAGAAAAACGAATTGCGAGCGAACGAGGGGACGAGTACAGCTAACTCGTCCACAAAAGAGGATCAAGTAATTATTTTTGTATGAGCGAATTATTTAATAATCGAACGTCGACGATGATTTCAGCGATTGTTTTTCATCGATCTAATAAGCGTGATTCGTTCGAACTATTAGGTTGTTGCAGATGAAATGGATGATTCATTTTAACTCGGAAAAGTTTATATTTTTTTTCAAGTCACAAGTCGTTTAATATTGTATATTGTGTATCGGATTCGGTCCTATTTTCATTAAATATTGTATTAAATTTTCTGCAACATAAAATATACTGACTGAAATCCACCAAAAAATAATACACAAATTTTACTTTAATCCATTGGTTGCTCTAATTGATAACCAGTTATTTTGTATTAACAATATTAATAAAAGCTTTATGTAGTTATTTTCGTGACTCTTTAAGCTTTAAATTGACGTAAAATAAGTGCTGTTTTCCGAAACTTTTATGTCATGAAATAATTTCCAAAGTCAGTCATTCGATGTGCAACAACCTGATACAATACTTAAGTCCCTCTCTTAATGTTCTTTTTTTCGCGTATCTATTTAACGTGTATGATAACTGCATTGCATCTTCCACTGCCAGTATTTAAGTCGTATTTATTCGTCGTCCACAAACGACCCCACGAGCAATACACTATTTGCAGGACTCGTTTGTTATCGATTGTTCTTCTCGCACTTTCGGGCACCCTTATCGATGGCAAAGAAACTTTGTAGACAAACACGATTGAACCCTTTGCGCATTCCTCAAGTGCAACATAAATAGTGCACTTGGAATGCAAAGGATTAATCGATGAAATACTCAGCAGTGTTCAGCGTTTTTCAACCCTTTTCGATACGAAAGCGACGACTGAACGTGTTTCTTCGAAATACAATTTCGATTAATCTTCTTCCGTCAGAGAATTTTAACGTGTCGACTATCGCGAAGGATCATTAAAAATTAAATTTTTAAATATAAATTCTCGCTATCTCCGTCATTTAAGAGTTAATATAATCAAATTACTTAAATAAAAAAAAAAGATGTTAAACCAATTACCCAACTTTCTGATTAATTATAATAATGCCAATTACCGTATTAATTTAGCAACAGTTTAGAAACAATTAAATTTCTTGGAGTTTTTCAAAAAGATTTTGAAAATCGTATCGAAAGGGGATCAATCGAAGAAGAAAACCTTATTGTTCTTACTATATATTTAGATTACGTTAGATCATATTATATAGTCGTTTACGTTATTATTCTTGTATCAGCATCCTGGATGCGGTAATAATTTCTTGTAACGTCGTTTCTTTTTATAGTATTTTCTTCTCTACGATGAAATTACTTTTGCTATTTGTATACTCGTTTCATAAGCGACGATATTTTCATAAGAAAAAGGGACGTACAGTATCGAACAAAGAAATCTTCCTTAGGGAAAATGAAGAAGGGAGGAATCCCTGAGGAAACTTACTTTGCTCGAAACTGTACAAGCACGTCGTAGAGTCGTCGCATTATCGTTGCTGATTTTTCTCTTTGTATACCGTAGCAAATTAATAGGTGTACCATAATAGCGATGTATTTTAACGATTTTCATAGTATTAATAGTAAGATAAGTTCGGCTGTCGCGTTGCGTTTCGAATAGAAAATTCAATTTTGTCGCGGGGTTAAATCGTTTGGTTACACAGCCATGGATTATTGGACATTTGTTGTTAATAAATATTTGAAAATAGCAGGAACAGACATACCTAATGGTGAGCTTTCAGAATTTTTCTATCTCCCTAAAAGAAATTAACTATAATTTTTTTTAATTGTGTTTGTAAAGGAATATATTGATTTTAATTAATAACTACTTAATTATTCAATAACATGTCATATAAAAAAAAAATTAGAACAAAGGATTTAAAATGGTTCCAGTTCGAAGACCAAGTAATCAAAAAATTATTGTAAAAATTCTGAAAGCTCATCGATCCCGTTAAAAAAAAATGATACAGAAAATAGGTAAAGTGTAAAGCAAGCCTGAAACCTGTATTAACACCGCTGATTACACGAAGGAAGTTGCGAGGGCCGTAGTCATTAATGTATCCCGTATTCGACCAAAACATACGTGCGAGTAACGTCTCCTTGTAACAAGATTAATGTAATTCGGGGACGTTTTAAGAAGAACGAAGGAGGATAAGATGCGAGAATTTAAAAAATGAAGGGAGAGAGATATAGGTTTTTTCTACGAAGCTTACGTCTATACTGGACAATAATGGAGATGAAGGAGAGACGAGAGGATTCGATTTAAAAAAGAAAAAAAAAACGTACGGTTTGAGGATAGTGTTCGAGACTTGTGATTGCTCGAAATTCCTACGAGTTATATTTGTACATTTTACTTTATGAAGAAAACCATTTAATATATTTCACGAAATCGGTGGACTTAAAAATAGCGCATGCGACTGAAGTATACCAGTTTTAAGAGTCTTACGCTTAAAAGTGTAGCAAATGCTTTCGTTCTCGGACCAGCCTACAAGTGTATTTCGTCGAAGATGATGATGATGAAGGAGAGAAATGATGTGACGCGTCGCGATTATTCTATGGCCGCGTCGGAAAATGCAAAAAGCATTTGTTTCGTCGACTCAACTCACTACCTAAATAACTGTAAACTGCGTAATAAATATAATTATTATTGTTCCTTCTCGATATCATTGTTTCTGTCAGCTGTCTTCTTGTTTTCCATTAGCGTAACTAGAATTTTTTTTCTGCGGTGGACTAGAGTTACAAGATTTAGAGCTACCAAACTAGAACTAATAGAATTAGAAGATCTTACAATTTTCGAACCTTAGAGTCTTAGAATTTTGGAAATTTAGGATCTTGGGATTTCAAGATATTAAAATTTTGGAATTTTCAAATTTTAGAATTTTAGCAGCTTGGAATCTGAAAATCTTAAAATGGTGAAGGGGTAGGTCCACCTTGGGGGAAGGTAGCCTATCCCCTACCTAGTTACGCCAATGTTATTTCCTTTAATTTCTAAAAGTCTCCATAGTAAAATGTTAATACCTTCCGCTTATCTGCACAACGCGTCAATATACCTCTTTATTAAATTCATTTTTCTTGTTTTCTTGTCTGAACTCCGATGCAAGTATAAGAAATTTCCTGCTTTTGGCTAAAAACCTGTTCCACTAGTTTATGCAATTCTCACGTGCTCTTTTGTTGCAATCTACTTTAAATTCCACTCGACTACTTTATTACGGCAACCTTGTCTCCACATTTTCTGCTTACACTATGAATGTTTTCATTACATGTGTCTTGCATTAAATAATTATGCAACTGCAGTTACGTAATCACGCGCATTCTCACATTTTCGTATGTATTAATACGTGAAACGATCAGAAAAATAAATTATTCATTTAATCATCGCAGTATTATCCACTGTAAAATATCTTTCCCGTACATTTTATTCATCTATCCTCTGATATTTTCCTATAAATTTGTTTGGTATTTATGAAAAGAGATAAAGAAGAGACAAATACTTTTTCATTCCAAAAAGAAAGAAAAATGAAAATAAAAGTGAAATTACATTTGTGTTTCAATCATCAAACTTTGCTAATTTTTTTACAAGTTGTTAAATATAATTTCTACATTGCAAAATTAAAATTTCGCGACCTGTAGATAAATACAACGCATGTAGGTCAAACGTTTTAGCAATAATTATCGCGTAATGATTACGAGTCGTTTAATAAGCCGTTGCTAAATGCGTTAAATCGACGAATTTTAAGTTCAATAATCGGCAGAGAACGATTAACAGTCGCGCGTTAGATTTTAATTAAAACCTGTCAACACATTAGAATCAATGCAATTTGCAAGTTGCACAAAAGATGCAACTGCACTCAATAATATTTTTTGAAGCGTTTGAAACTGGATCGTTCGAAGTATTATCGATCGATATTGGCTATTTAGGGGTGTGAAGGTACCCGAATTATTTATTACAGAAATGTTATTAATTCTGTAATTTGTATTAACTAAATAATTAATAAGATAGCAATGCTTCATTTGGATTTAATTTTATTCTGATGGTATTTTAAACAACCTTCAAACAGAAAGAGATCTTGCATACTATATAGTTGGGGCGAGAATTTACTACACGTCAGGAGTGTAATAAATAAATCTGACAACAAGATAATAGACAAATTGACCCCATACGCATCCAGCGCGTTATTAGACGAGGATTTGAAGATCGCGTTTCGTCCACAGCTGTGACCTATCAATCTTTTCATTTATTTTCATTTTCCATTCATGAAATTGTATAATAAATAAACTAATTATTAATTTGAAAAAATTTCCCAATTAATTAGAAACGAATACTCTTCTATCATTAATTAACAAAGGAAAATATTTTCAATCCCCAAAATTGATTACTACGTCATTACATTTATTTTTTGAAAAATAAATATAAAACAGAGATATTAAGAAACAGGGGAGTCAATGTACCATCGCGTTGACGAATGATCAACAAAAAAATTCTTAATAATCAATTGACCGGTGTTTCACAAAGGAACTGACCAGTTAACCGGACACTTCCGAGACACCTTCGACAGAACTAGACCTCGTGATAGTACCCTCAATTGATACGCGGTTGGCTGCGTGGGTGGAGGAAAAGCCTGTAGCTGAGGCTCGTAGAATCAACTAATGTGTCAGTCGTAAGCGCGATCCCGACGCGCCTCGTGCTTCCAGAGGTACATCATCCAAAAAATAATCCAACAATTCTATTTTCCTCTAACTCTAACATTAAAAAGAAAATCCTTATAAATCTTTTAACCAATCGCTTGTTTATTTTTATTTATCGCGAGTGAATGGTCCCCGATAAATTTTATCAAAATGTGTTGTGTTGATTTTCGGTGACGATCTAACGACTATGTTCGAAAAGTGTAAGTAATTTATTTCTTGAAATTGTGTGATTTATTAGATCTAGAGAAATTAGTGCGCACACGATGGTGATGAGAGGAAGTAGGTGATTTAGAGTTGCGGATGCGTCCGCGTATCGAAGAAAATGACACGAATTATTGCTGAAATTTAATTAAAACACTGCTAACTACCTCAATTCTCAACATTATTAAACATATTCTATTAGATATATCATTATATTTGCAAAAATACTTCAAATTACTATTAAAGTTTCAAACGAAGTGAAATATTTTCTGCAAATGCGTAGAAAATTCTTATTTTTTAAAATTTAAAATAAATCTCACTTTAAATGAAAAAATATGTATGTAGTTAAATAAATCAATTTTTTAATTGAAACAGTGACGCGGTGTCAAACAGAAAACGAAAGACAAACTGAAGGTACATTTTAAAAGGATGACGCATCTCGAGTGACTTGGGTCCGAGTGACCCAAGTGACTCGAATGCACGGCGATTATTAGACGCGGCAATTACAAGGTCGTCCTTAAAGATTCAATTCGGTTAATGGAGCAGACTAACCGAGGGAAAATCTTCGCGTCCGGTTCGAAGCGATCACTTTTCATACCGACACGTCTCCGATCTTTAATCCGAGCATTTTCAAAACTGTATACACAACGAATTATTACGCACACGCTAACCTCTTATTCACTTAAACGATGCTTCGTATTTGCTTGCATCAGTCTGTTCAACGTTACGATAGGCGATGTATAAAAATTCTCTTTCTATCACGTGCAAAACAATAAACAATAATTAAATCAACAGAGTTGAACGCGATTCGAATTTTTCAAATTTAAATAATTCTTTAATCCTTAGAATTTAGAATATAAAAAAAATTGTGCATTGAGAATATATTATTTTATTTTTAAAAAATGTTATTGTATAGACAAGTTTCTAGTTGAATACCGATACTTGAAATTTGTATGCGCGCCCAACGTCCTGTTTCTAGGAGATAAACTTCCTCTTATGTAAATTGAATCGTCTCCTTTCAAAAGGATAAAATCGATGTAGCATCCTACGTGATTTCCGGTCACATAGCAGACTCTTTTCTTCGAGAAAACTGTCCCGAAGGTAGAGACGAATTATGAGTAATGGATTGCTTTCTTGTTCTAAGAATTGGGATTCGTTGACTCTCCCTTCGTGATATGGATACATTAAAGTAACCGATAACTTCTTTCTCTATTTCTTATCTGTATTCTTCGGCATTTCTCAACCTTTATTTTAAGCTGTTTCTTCGTTTCTTTCGTTCGAAATGAAAATTGAAATGGAAATAAAAGTAATTCAATATTGATGAGTTTTAATTTTGTAAATTAATTTTCTACTACTTATCTTTTTTTTTACTACAAAGTTTGATGATATATTTAATTAAAAGGATCTTTATTTAGTTCCAAGTTAGTTAGATTGCGTTTTATTTTCGGTGGATCATTATTATAAAATAATGATAATGAATAATTAAGAAGAGTAGAAATATAATGATATGAAATTTGATTGCTCATTACGTAAATGGAGGAGCAGGCATTCTTTTTTTTCCTCGAGACTTCCCATTAAAACCTGGCTACTACAATGACCCACTGGGGTTTGCTCGATATATCGATTCTCCGGAGACGAAAGGAGCGCCCGTGAAGAGTGTCCTACCTTGTTGCCTCAAAATAAGTAACCTGATTCGGCCATTCAAATGAAATACCTCTTTAAAAAAGAAATTATAAAGCTGAATTGTAGAGCTAAAAATTCGAACAAAAGAAAATCATGAAGAACCTCTGACTAATTCATAGCTGAATTCCAAGATAATAGTAAAGCTAAGAATTAACATTAAAAGTTCAAATAAAAAAAAAACAATAGAATAGAAAAACAAGCAAGTAAAGGGTTATGCGAAAACGTGTCGGCGATGACGGTGATCGCAATGAAAGTCAATAAACCGTGATGAATAAGAGAGAGTAACAGTCGGAGTGGTATTAATAAATTAGTGTCTAGTTGCTACAAGCAGCGACAGTGGCAACGGCAACAGGAGGATCAACAGAACTTGGAGGAAAAGCGGATAGAAGAGGAAGTGGAATAGGAAGATACGAAGGTGGTGACGATGACAGAGACGATGATGTACATCGATCAACGTTCTAATCTTTCCTTTGAAACTTCGCAAACGGCTTAATCGCGCCAAGGTTTGGTAATTGAAAAATTTCAAATTTCACTTAATTTCATCTCAAAGTGTCAATCATCCCCCGAGAAATCTCTTAATTTTAAAATTGAACAAAAAGAAATTCAAACCTTTCGAGTATCGAAAATGATTCGAAGTTGAACACGTTCGTAACAGAGTTAGTTCGAAGTGACTGAAATCATCGGGTGATAATCATCAACGATGACGACGAAGGTGGCAGCGTAACAAGGGTCGTTGGCGACCGGAGGAGAGAAGAAGGTGGTGAAGACAGGAGGAGAATCGAGTGAAGGAGAGGAGGAGACGCTTTATCGTGGCCGAACGTGACGTGACGGTGGATGGCGGCGTGTGCACACGCGTGTCGCTCGTGTGGGATCGGATTATCGTTGTGTGCCAGTGCGAAAGAAGACAATTGACTCGTAGCCGCCGCCGTCGTGCTTGTCGGGGGCCTTCTGACGTCACATCCTGTCCTCTTGGGCTAGTCGCGATCTCGTTTGGACCACGGCACATCAAGGTACGCAGATTCGTGCGTCCTCAATGTTTAGGACGCAGAAAAACATCGTCGTTGAACCGATTGGTTAGCACGTGAGATC